ATAAGAGGAGAAAGAGAGAAGTAGACGGAGAGTAGAGGGGAACGAGGGGGAGGGTGGAAGAGTCACAGATAGTTAATAAAGAAATTAATAGTAGAATAGATTTATCTAAAAGTTATTCATATTAAATATTTCTCTATATTTACAATACAATTAACAGAAGAACTTATAATTTTAATTGAAAGTTAAATAAAAAGTAAATTTAAAATATAATGAAGAAAGTGCTAAATTGAATTGATTTCAATTACTTATACCCTTATTTAGATTAACAAGAAATGTTAATATCTTTTAAATTTATAAATTTGGGTGTAAATTTATTATTTCATGATATTCAAATAAATATTGGATTGTTTTTATCTACTAATTGCTTTCTTCTGCACATCAATTTATATTTCAATAATGATCTTTAACAGGTAAAAATTAACTCTAGTATTATGCCTGTAGATAGCAAGATTGATTAAATCCATCCCAGTACAATTTTTTTCTCTTGATTAAATTATTCATTAAACTCTTATATGTATAAAAACGAACCAAGCATAAAAGTGATTACTGATATCTCAACTGACATCTAAACGATGTAGTTCTTTTAATTAAAATAAAACCGATATTTGTAAAGGAAAGTTGTTTATATTAAGCTTGTTAAAAGTATCAACCCTACTTACAGTGTCTGCGAATGTTAAACATAAATCAAGATTATTAAAAAGAAAAATTATCTCCCAAAACTAAGAATTGCGAACCTTTTATTTTTGTTCAATCGTTAATGGCATTTGAAAAAATTTAGTAATATGATAAAATAAAGAAGAAGTATAATACTTACCAAAAAGAGTTGTATGATATCTAAGTAATTTTTTGTTTAGATGTTTCGTGTATATAAAATTGTTTTAAATATCATATCCCAACCATTGAGGAGTAATGCTTTTTACAATCCTTCAAAAGACATAAATTTCTCTAATTTAAGTAAATCCAGGTAAATGTTATAAAAGTATGAACTTATTTTCAAAATAATTTTTCGATTTATATAGAATGATAGTGATAACATATATTAATTGCATCTAGAACAAAATATCCATTTATATCCAACTCTTTTAATCCATTGCAACAGCAAAATAAGGAATAAAAATATTAAGAATTAAAATATTTGACACTAAAGATTGATAATCAAGCTTGAATTTTATTTGTAATCATGAAACTTCCCATCTTAATAAACCTAATTTGACTAAATATCAATAAACTGTGATAATTGTGGAAATTACAAAACGTCCAATAGAGGTTGAACAGTTATCATATCATATATAGAAAAATAAATAACTAGATTTTCAGGAAATTCTAAATTGATATATCTTAAGTATTGTTAAAATTAAAGGATTGCTAAAATCTCTACGAATAAATCGCTACTTCCTAGTAAAAGACTGATAATAGTAATTCCTGATAAACTATAAATCAAATATTTATTAAGAATTTCAACTTTTAAGAATAATCCTTCTGTGTTTCATCGAGATAATTTGGATATTGTAATGTTATTTATTTTTCAAAATCTATCAAAATAGCATTATCTATATTAGCAACTTTCTGATTTACTGAAATTTTCAAGAGAGGTCTAAATTTTAGTAATTAGAAGACTTCTATTTCGATAATATATTCACCAAAACTCAAATATGATCCAACATCCGAAATTATATTTAAGCTGCTATTCCAGTACTTCCTGTTGAGATCTGATAATTCAAAATTTAAAGTTTCTGATAGTGGTTAACTAGTGTATATTTTTACTTACTAATTAAATTAGATGCTTATATATTATTTATTTTAAGTTATATTGAGATAATTAATAACTAAACTTGGAGCTTTAACGAATGAGCATTAGCTAGGAGACTCTTTTGCCGTTGTGATACAAACCCAATTTTATTCAAATAAACAATCCTAGCATCCATCGGCTGCATGTTAATTACCATCATCACATTCCTCCTATTCCTAAACCAATCCATCCCCACAATTTAATTATTATTTACATTAATTAGAAATTAGTAATTAGTATTGATAATTGCACTACAAACATGTACCTTGATAGCAATCAGAACAATTTAGTGGACAAGAATACTTACATTGAAAACAACCATCAAATTTTATAGTATTACCATCATCACAATCTTCTTCCTTTGTAACAATTTAATCACCACAAACAGATTGACAATTGTTATTAGCAAACTTATATCCATCCTCACATTTTAAAAAGCATTATCCTTGATCACATAAGTTGCAATTTTCTATGCATTAAAACTTACATTAATAACAACCATCATAAGGTTCAAAATTTCCATCATCGCAATCCTCATATTATTAGAGAACTAATTTATCTCCACAATAAGGAAAGCAGGCATTCTCTAACAATTAAAATCCTATTTCACATTCTATGCAAATTGAAAAATAGGTAATTTTACAATTAGCGATTGAAATAAATTTGCAATCCTAACAACCATCCTACACACCATTAACAGCCAATTCGCATTATTCAAATGAATATGGGGTCAAATTACCGTCTCCGCATAAAGGATCACAATTAAAATTGGAATTAATTACAAATCCGTCAATACATTGTAAATAAATTCCAAATTAACAAATTTAACAATTTTCAAAACAAGAATATTTGCATTGATAGCAAGAATGATTAGTTATTAGATTATCACATTATTCTTAACCTTAAATGATTCCATCTCCACAAATTGGATTACAATTTTCTAGAAGTTCATCTTAAATCCAACCTTCTTGACAAATCAGACATTTATCATCTATTTATTCTAAACAACCTTCATTTAATTCTAAAACATTATTTCTGGCTAAGTATAATACACTTCAAAATCTCTTAAAAAACTACTCCCTCCACCATAAATAGTAAGTTATAATATTGGAACATAATGATTTTTTATTAATATTTCTATTAAATATTTATACTTTATATTTTTTTGATCAAATAAATAGTCTACAAATAGAAAATTTGGATTTAATTAAAAAAACCTTATTAATACATCTTAATGAGGAGGGAGTTAAGTTTAATACGTAATTTACTAAAATTTCACAACTTCACAAAGTCCACATTAACTGTTTATAATAAAAGAACCTTCTTAAAAAGTCCATCCGTCAGAATATGTGATCTATTTCTAATTAAATGAATATTAGTGCAGTTTCCATTATAAACAAATTGTAGGATAATTCTCAATGCATGCATAACATGCATACTAACATTTAATGATACTAAATTTTAATGATATTAATCCTCCGTAATTATAATCAATGCTCATCCAAATAGTTCTTCTATTATGTTAACGAATAATAGAAATAGTATGCAAATATTCAGGCTCCGAATCACAACATATCAAACCTTAAGATGAAATCATTTACTCTGAATCTGATGTTTGCTAGTCTACATCTAATGATGGTGGAATATTGTTATCAATACTTTTGTAATTAATAGCATTAAATACCTTAGAAATTGTGCATCCACTAATATATGAGAATGAGGCTCTAAGTCTAAAAATATTCTGCTTTAATTGAAGATAACTATTT